AACATTGGATAAAACAGCATATTTTACTCTTGTAGAGACAAATAATCAATAATTAGCACTTTCAGGAATCTCGGCAGCTCAGGGACATGGATTACTTAAAAATCAAAGTTCAACAACAGTCTTCATAAAAATTACATCAGGTTTGCAATTTAAATCCCCAACAGCAGAAATGCAACACAGAAGGCAAAATTCTACAAGGAATTTACCATGGACTCTTTCCTCTAGCATGCCTAAATTCTACTGAAGAACATATCATAAATTTTGCTTTTGCATGAAATATTTTGCTTTCATGGCCTTGATTTGTTAGGTGACATAATGTGGAGTTGTTTTTTTTAGCTGGTTTGTTTGGTTTTGGTTTTAGTTTGATTTTAGATGGTTTGGTTTTGGTTTGTTTTTAAATTAAGGAATCTTTAAATTATCTATCTGGTTTTGTTTCTCACATTTTCAAAGCCCAAAATACGTTCAGAAGAAGAATTTAGATTTGGGGGGAAAAAAAAAAGAATGAAATACAGACTGTCCTGAACTATAAGACCTCCTCAAGTAACCAAATGATAACATCAGTAATAACTGAAACTAGAATCACATTTTCACCCCAGAGGATTTCTAACCCATTTTCACAAGGATTGAGTCAGACTTTGATTTCAGCACTTTCCAGAAGTATGTAAAAAGTGGCTTCTGTCTGCAGAGACAGATGTTCTAGTGTCTTTCTAAGTTCTCATGATTTATCTCCCAGCACACCAAACCCTCATTGCCAGAGACATAAACAAACAGAAGGACATGAATTCCCAGCTCCTCAGTGGGCAGAGGGGTGATTGAACATGGATTTTAATAGATGGTGGTTTTAATAGATTTCAATAGTGGTTTTAATAGATTTCAAAACCACTGTGATATATTTAATATTCTAAGACTGGACATTAAACTGGAATAAGTACATCTACTTATGTGCCTTAGAAAATGGTGATTACTGATAATATTTCCATCACCTTTCATGAAAACAGAAAAGTTTATTTTGGCTTGAGCTTAACTCTGAACACCACTGCATATTTTAGAAAACTGTGACTGCCTTTAATTTTGGATGTAAGTGCTGTAAGTGAAACTTATTCATACAGGACTAGCAGTGTTTTTGAGACAGATACAGTCTAAAAGTTGGACAAAAGGTGGTACAGAACCATAGCAATGTAATTTAACATACATACTAATTCTTTAACTACAGTTTAACTTTGTGCTTATAGAAGGTCTCTAACTGAAATTTGAATTACCCAAGTCTTGTGTACTAGGACAATCTATGCATTTAATATACAGGAGATTATATTTTTAATACTTTTCTGCTAATCTGTTTTCAAGAAATATGTATCTTCAAACATGCATAGCTTACACTAGAGGATGCAGCTCTGTGGAAAAAAAGAAAAAAAATTGAACAAGATAAAGGCTTCAGATAAGACTTTTCAATTGCAGAAGTACCAGGCCAGGCTATGTTTCATAGTTTGTTCTTTGCTGGATATATGCATAGAGACATACATATGTCCTTCAAGAAAGGCTACAGCTACAAGGGTAATTGCTACACACATCACTTGACATTACTTCAGAATTCTTTGTAGAGTGTGAATTTCAGGAACATCACATTTTGCAAAAAAAAAAAAAAAGGTCCTTAGAGGGAAGATTCATCAGTTCAGAAATCTGCTATAATGGTATTTGTAAGTGAAGCTTAAATTAATAGTGTGTAGTTGGGAGAACCAGCAATTCCTTCTTTACCTTCTTAGCTATCTGTATGATGAGTTTAATTAATGAAGCATGTTCCACAGATATTCATTAGAAACATTCCTTCACGTGACATTCCATCAGTAGGATGCTAGCTAAAATAAGAATTTAATGCACTTCTTGTTCCTATTAAGTTCACTTGTATCCCCTACACCTCTAGCATAGCATTTCTAGTAAGACTACATCAGAATTAATACCATTGTTTACTGTTCCAGTGCAAATTCCTTTGCTTAATACTTACACCTTCACATTAAACACACTATGGACAGAGTGGAAAAATGGTTAGTACTGCTCTTCAACACCACAAGAAATATTAAGCATGGCCAGACACGTTACATGTTTATAGCTCAGGTTGCTTTGTTCAGTGTTAGTGTGTACCATCACCTGACACATTAGGTGTTTGAAGCTTAGGTTACTTTATTCAGTGTTAGTGTGTACAACTAGCCTGTTACATACACTTAAATATTTTAGCTGGCCTGGCTTCCAGAGTTTTCTCCCCTTTAGGGAAAAGGGAGGTGTTGTTCCAGCTCAGAAACAGATTGCTATCACCACCCAGAGGCCAGCTGTTGGCTATAGCAATTGCTATAGGGCTTCTCCTAATTAGATGGGCATCGATGGCAGTGTTGGTGATCCAAAGAAGGTAGCTTGAAAGGCAAATAGTATGAAAGGTTACTCCTTGGGAGCGGATAATGTACCTCCAGAGATTTGAATTGGGGAAGTGGGATTAACAAGAGATACCTCTTGTTAAATCCACCAGTTGCACAGCTCTGGTAGACAGTCACTGGACTGTACTCAGCCACAGAGTGGGATTGTGAACATCAGTCTAAGGCTGTGTGTGATGATTTCTGAGCAGGAACACACACACAAAAAATTAATTGTGATTCTGTAATAATTTTAAATCAGAATTGTTCCTTTAAGTCAAAATTAGCCTACCCATTATAGAGGTAGGAAATGTAAAATATAATCCTGGGGATACTTTTTAAATGCTAAGATCAACTATGTGTGACCTGACTGGGAGGTTGTGTTCTTCAGGCATATTTGTACAATGCATGCACTACCGGGCATCCAGCAGCGATTTCTGATTTCAGGGCTGTCATGGTGTCAACATTGTTTACAGTATCTGCAAGCTTCTCTTCATTTTCCTTTATTTATTTTAGAACTTTGACTACCAAACTCTGTTGGCAGCAAAAGTCCTGTCAAAGTGATGAAAGTGTGGGCAAAATAATAAAATTGTTAAATTTGAGAACAAGTACATTTTCCTTTTTTTCGAATGTATTTTTAATTTTCTTGATTTGTTGGCATGCTGTAGCAGTAGGGAACTTTGCAAAATAAAATGTCCACTTAGTCCTTCAGGTGCTTGAGTTTTTTTGGGGTTTAACTTCTTTTTAAGAAATAAGTCTCTATTTGTAACTTGAGCATTTTTGGAAATGTCATTATGCTACTTAGTACTTACTTATTTTATGATATTGTAACACAGATAGGGAGGAGAGTGAGGTGAGATATTTCACACAGCACTGGACCAGAGGGAACTCTGTGACATAATTATATAGGCCTCAGAAACAGAAGCAGCAACCAGTCTTTATGCTGAAAGACCATTAGGGATTTTCAAGATGACCTAAAACTTCTGATGAACTTGAACTCCACCCCTCATGTATTTTGAGCCAGGATAATACACTGATTTCATGTATTAAACCTACTGTAGTGGGTAAACAGTCTGTTTCTTCTCATCCCTTATTCCTTTGTGTGATAAATTGTTATGTTCCTCTTCTTCTATAAGAACATAACACTAATTCAACAACAATTGCACTAATTCAACAGCAATCAGGAAACAGGTTCCTAAATTAATAGTGAATATAAAACATATGATAGAGTTCCTCTTTGCTATACAACATTCTTATAAAGTGATTACGGAAGAATATCCTGAGGAACCTGTAATGGATAGGGCCATTAAAGCAGTAAAAGAATTTCTTAAGTGATAAAATAACATTGGAAGCTGGTGAATGTCTTAGCTGATGTGAAAAATGCATGTATTTTATGATTGGCTTTTTGCAAATATTAAAATGAATATTATATGTGTTGTGTTTGTGTTAGAAAGTAATGCTGTATTAATTCTCTTAAGTAGTGTGTTAAATATAGTTTTAGGTTATAAAAATTGTTAAAATAGAAACGATGCTATGTAGGATACTCTTTTTAAAAAGAAAGGACTTGCAGCAAGATAGCAGCCACAGGACACCTAAATCTTTCAGAGAAGAAGAATTTATGGCCCCCTTATCAGAAGAAATGAACTTCTTCTCGCCTCGAAGGCGCTGTTAGGATTTGGAGGAAGAAGTTGACGATGATCAGACAGAATCCTGTATTTGAATGGAATTTATGCATCATGTATGAAGTGTATGACTATGCAACAGGCTATTGTTTTTGAGGGTTAATCCTTTGTTAACGGGTGTCCTTTTTCGGGCTCGTGCTGCCCAGAAAAAGGTACCCAGACGTCCGTAACTCTTTGTCTTTATTGTCTCATATTGTCCTAATTCAGTTTGTTGAAATTATTATTCCTCTAATTGTATTACTATTTTTATAACCATTTTATTACTATTAAACTTTAAAAAATTTTAAAGACAAGTGATTGCCGTTTTTAACAGCTGACTTGTGCATTATAATACTCTGAATCACGCACACTGAAACTCAAGAAGGATTTCTAAATACACGCCATAATGAGCAAAACAGAAGATCCACTAGAGATGATAGAGACCTTCTGGAAAGCAGAATGAACTTTTTGCTTTCCTGCCGGCACAGTGCGCCTCATTTTATCACTGGTAAGTTTCTCAAAGCAAGAATATCTTTCAAAATAAATACTTGAGGAGTACTCTGGCTACGTGTCCCGCAGACCTGTAAGTCACAAATATTTTGAGGTGTCAGTCTCTTCTTTCAGTCTCTCCGCTGCCTTCAGTCGCTGCCAAGCGCTGACGGGTCCAGACACCCCGGCCCCGGCCCCGGCCCCGGCCCCGGCCGCAGCCTCCCCGACCCTCCGTGCCCGGCTCCGGCCGCTTCCCGGAAGCTCCGAGGGGCGGTGGCACCCGGGGGCAGGGCCGGGCCGCGGGCGGGGCAGTTCGGGCCCGCTGTGGGGGCAGTCCCGCCGTGCCCCGCCGGCCCCCGGGAGCCTCTGCCGTCCCGTCCCGTCCCGTCCGAGGGCGTTTTGGAGCCTTAGAGAAGCCAGTGTGTCCCCTCTCCCTGGAAGGCCGTGGACGATGGGTTTCCTGGGCAAGCTGGCGGCGCTGCCAAAGCTTAACGGGGCAGTGGCGGGCCGGGGCGGCGGTGCCTGGCGGCGGCCGGGCCGGCCCTGTGCGGGCGTCCCGCTCCCGCTGCCCCTGCCGGCCCCGGCCACGGCCGCCCCCCGCCCGCCGCCCGGCGGCCGCGCCGCCTCCTCCTCCTGCCGGGCGCTGGGCAAGTACGAGGAAGTTTTTCGGTCTTGCTTGGCGGAGCCCGAGAAGGTCTGGGGAGAAGTCGCCGAGCAGATCCAGTGGTACAAGCCCTGGGTGCGGACCCTGGAGAGGAGCAGCCTGGGGAGCGCCTCCTGGTGAGTGCCCGAGTGCCCCGTGCCGTGCCGGGGCCGGGGTCTCAGCTCGGCTGTAGCGGGGAGAGAGGACTGCCTGCCCCGGGGCTGCGGGTGTGCTGGGCTGGGGGTCGTGTGCTCTCCACAAAACCATCCCAGCATCGGTCTGGGATTGTCGGTGTGCCGTCGCTGTTGGAGGAGACGGCTGCGGAGCTTGAAGAAGTGAAATGATTACATTTGGTTAAAGTTAATGATTAAAAGCACCATGGATTGAGCGTGTTGTGTTAGCATGCACTCTGGCAGGTGTGACAGGTGCCTGTGTGTGTCCATGTGTGGCTGAATAGTGTAGATGAGTGTGCCTGATGCTCCCCATCCCACCCCTTTTGGGTCTGAATTGGCAACAGGCTGCCGTGAACATGGGAAACCCAGCTAAAAATGCCAGGGAAATCAGGCATATGAACGCACAGGTGTATAAAACCCGTGGCTTTGGAGTTGTTTAATCTCAGATACTGTCTAAGTAGATTATAATTTAGATGTTTTGGTTAAGGTAATGTTTGGCAAAGGCATTGGCATTTGTAATATATATCTTCATCAGTGACTGGTGAACTATCCTAAGACAGAACATGACATCCTTCTTATAAATTACTAGATAGGATTTTCAATACTTTCTCAAAGGTAATGTTAAAATTTTGTGTGCCTAAGAGGCATCTTTGCCTCTTTTTAAGCAAGTTTAGATCGTGCTCTTGGGTCTTTTCTCAAGAAGCTGATGCAGAATATAAAAGGCAATGTAAGATAAGGGTCATCTTTGTTTGGTACATCAGTGTTCTTTGCCCTTTTTTGTATTTTTCTGGTTTGTTTTTGATTCAAAATGCTAATAGTTCTAAAAATAGTTAAAATATTAATAATTCTCAAATCTGTGCAAATTAAAAAAGAGCCAGTGGAGTGGAGCTGGGTTTCTTATTGGTGTCTGATATCATTGCTTGACACCTCTAGTAGTAAAAATTTATATGTGTTCAGCTAAATTATCAGTAACACCAGCCATGATGGGCTGTGTAACAGTGGATAGATAGGATCCTTTGATCTCAAGGTCATGGCACTACTCAGAAAGTCCAAGTAGGATTGCCTGCATAATTAGGATCTAGACGAGTGTGTAGAGAACATGTCCTGTGAGGAGCTGCTGAGGGAGCTGGGGTTGTTTAGCCTGGACAAAAGGAAGCTCAGGGGAGACCTTATTGCTCTCTATAACTATGTAAAAGGAGGTTGTAACCAGGTGGGGGTCAGGCTCTTCTCCCAAGTAACAAGTGATAGGACCTTAAGAGGAATGGCCTCAAGTTGCACCAGGGGAGGTTTAGATATTAGGAATATTGCATATCAGGAAGAACTTCCTCACTGAAAATGTTCTCAAGCATTAGAACAGGCTGCCCTCGGAAGTGAAGGAACTACTAAACCTGGAGGTATTTAAAAGTTGTGTAGATGTGGCACTTACGGACAAGGTGTAGTGGTGGACTTGGCAGTGCTGTGTTTAATGGTTGGACTTGATGATCTTAAGGTCTTTTCCAATCTAATTGGTTCTGTGATCCTGTCATTAAAGACCGGTAAAGCTCATTGACTGCAGCCTTCCCAACCAGTATAATGAAATCAGTACAGTGGTTACTTTTGAAGGACTAAGGAATGAGAATATTTTACATGCAAATGAACATAGTTTTGCTATCAGATTCTGTCAAACAAGTGTGGTTTGATTTGTTGAGCAGGATAAGCTTGTTTGTTTAAAGAAACAGAGGCATTTGTAAAGCATTCTCGGGTGGAAGTTATTTCACCTTATGAGAGAGAAAAATGGGTTTCATTGTCTTGTCTTCCAAGCTCTTTTCTAGCCTCACTTTCTAACTTGCATCTTTCCTTCTCTGTAGATGCAGAAACCAAAATTATCATGTTAATGTGGGCAAATGGCTGAAGGGAGGTTTTACAGAAAACAGAGCCAGACTCTTTTCAGTGATGTCCAATGACAGGAGCAGAAGCAATGTGCACAAAGTAAAGCAGTCATGTTCCCTTTTTTAATGTGAGAGTGACTGAGCACTGGTACAGAGCTGGTTGTGGAACCTCCATCCTTGGAGATATTAAGACATGGTCCTGGTCTACTGTCTCCAGGCTGACCTTGTAGAAGCCTACAAGATAAGTGGGGTAATGTGTACGTCTCAAACACCCATAGCCAGAGAGCAGTGGAGCCACCCAAGGATTGTTTGTAATAATACTGAGAAAGAACAGGCTGTGGCTGGAGAAGGGCAGCACTTTTCTGGGATAAATGTCTGTGTTCTAGCTCCTGGAGACAAGCAAAACACAGTACAGGGCAGGAAGAAGGTTGAGAAATAGGCATAGACTGTAGAGGTATCAGGACCACTGAGGACTTCTGAAGCCCTCTGACCCATTTTCAGAAAGGGCTAATGGATGTGCATGCTAACTAATTTGCATAGGAAAAAAAGAAACTTATGTATAGAATGGTACCCCCACAAAGCTCAGGTGCCTGTGTGCCTCAGGTCTCTGGACAGATCGCCCAGCTGATGAGCTGGATCAACACTGGAGTCAGGACTCTGGTCATGGAGCAGATGATCTTCTTTTCATTCTTTCAAAAGAAAAGAAAGAAAAGTTTTCTTTCTTTCTCCCTGTCTTTATTTAATCCCTTTTACCTTGCATCCTACCTTTATACAAATCCCACTGCCATATTCTTATACTGGGGTATCAGAGTCTAACTTGTACAGATTTCCATACAAACTGTGTGGACTTTACTAATAAAAACTTCATAAGTTTTTACAGGCCCACTGACTTTTGTAATTCTTTTTGACCATGAGCATTTATGAATCTTAGTCTCTGCCTTCCCCTTAAGGGTGGGATGCCATAGACCTGTCTGAGCAGGTGCCCTCCACAGGTCCCTTCCAATCTCAAGCCAGTTTGTGATTCTGTGGCATCATACAAAGATGCAAGTCTGAAGAATCAACATCAGGCTGTAATTATTTGTATGCCAGGTACCTGTTGTTCTGTGGATAATAAAAACTTTAAGCAATTCAAATTTGTGTAAACAAATGTCTTAATGTGCAACATGCAGTTTTAGTTCTTTACAGGCTGTACATGATAGAGCTTGTACTTTAATGCCTCTGAAATCCCAAATGGTTACCAGCAGTCAGTGTGCCCAGCAGAATGACAGATGGGGAAGTTCTTTGAATATAAGAGAGAGAGAGAGAACATAGAAGAGGGTCTTTCAGAGGACAGGCTGAAGGGAAAACAGACAATGGAACACATCTGAGAAAGAGGCCAGGTGTCCAAGCAAAAACAAAGCTTGCTGGCTTAACAGGGTAAAAACGGAGTTCTGGGTCAGAGGTTTACCTTGGAAGCTGTTTATGGGGACCCGAAAAATAGTGTTAAAAAGTTCATGGATGTGTGTCTTGAGTTAGAATTTGTTTCCTCTTTTGGAGACATTTTACTAGATCAATTGGAAATACCAATTTTTTTTCAATACCTTTGCTTTTGGTTGTAAAACCTGAGATGTGCAGAAGCAGATGCTTTTCATATATTTTCCAGTGTAATCTACTTCAATTGAAAAAGCTGAAGGAGGCTGCTACTGTATTTAGAATGTAGGCATAAGGCAATTCTTCCTCTCTAAATACTGTAAGAGCATGAAAGAAACTTGCAACATGCCCCAGTGTGTTTTCTTCACTCTCTGCCACTGGAAATACCAGTATTATGTCAGTGGAATGCAAAATGATTTCCAGAAGATAAGTGATCAGTGTCACCTTCCCCTGACGTGTTTTTAAGCAGCAGTAGTCCCAGGTACTCTTCTAAACTGCATCAGTGGCTGATACAGCACAAAACATCTGGTTTTGCCTACATAAAAACTAATAAGATCTATGAAGCATGCTTGCTCAAGAAAAGGATGAAGGAATTGAAATTGTTTGATCTAAAAGCCAAAATGGAGACCTAGGTTTTAAACCACAAAAAATTTGGCAAAGAAGTTGAAGGAAAAACTTCCTTGAGCTGACTTTCAACAGGTCAAAACTGTCTTCAGTTGCAACATGGGAAACATAATCTTTAGATGTTAGAGAGAAATCTTTTTAATGCTAAAGTTGGTGAAACACTTGAACAGATTCTTTTGGAATCTTGTGGAATGCCGGTTAAAAGGATTAAAACAAGTGTTTATTTGGGAATGTGGAAACAGTTTTCTCTAACATGTGCAGACAGAGGGCAATTTTGCAACATATCTTTTTGCTCTGATGCTAAGACATATGTGCAATATGTAATCCCCTTTGAATTTTGGAAGTGTTGCCCAGATTGCTATTCAAATGTTGCTTACATTTTCAAAACTGTGTCAGGGTCAATTTACACAATAATATATCAAATTATCTGATGTTGTCTAACATTTTATTCAGCTTCTACTCTCATTTGATGTAAAAGAGTGCATGTCTGCTTTTCTGGTCCTATCAGAACCTCATTCCTTCTCAACAGGGTAACAAAGCTCTCACCACACCTTCCAGATAGTCTTGGTTTTTAAATAAACCTACAGTTATATCTCTTTCACACACTTGTTTGTGATTGCTAAAAATTCATGTTGGTGTTGCCATGTATCTTTAGAAGAACCAAAGCTCTCATGCCTGCTCATGTTTTGACCATTTTAAGTGAATATGCATGACCCAGGTACTGTGTTCCCTTGTTAATATCATCCTACAGTAATTTGGTAGAAAAACCTGAATCTTACCCAACTTTTATGACAGTAATACAGAGTTTCTCTGTATTATGTGAAACAATTCCAGATCCTTTATGGTTCATATTGTTTTCCTTTTAGGGGGAGGGTTTTGTAGACTTTTGTACAGGATGGTTTGTGACTTTGATGGTCCCCCACTTTCTCCTTATTAATGGTAATGTAAAGGAGTTGCAGTAAGATAACTGCATCCTAAACATCCTAACTGTTTTTAATTTCATAATTGTCATTTTTAGACAATAAAGATTATCCCATAGCATCTCTGTATGGATATAAAATAATATATAAAATATCCTGATTTTATATTATAAAGCAGTCCTTTACTAAACATGAGAAGTGAAGAAGGAAATACTTTTTTTTAACTAGTAGTAGGTTACTTTAGGCCATCTGTTATTTCTAATTGCATTATAATAATATGTTAGCCCTGTACAGTTGTCCCCGTAGAACCTTTTGGAAACTCTCAACTGTGTGTTTTTTGTACATTGCTAGTTTTGCTTCACAGATATACATGCAGATAGAAAAACAAACAAATAGGCATGATTTAGTGTGAACTTTAACTTTTAGGTCCTGTGTCATCTTCCAGTAAATAGAATTGTCTTTGTAACTGGTACCTTCCATATTTTTGTACTTTGAGGATTATGCTGCACTTGAATTTTTTTCTATATAAAATGACTAGAAAAGTGAAACCTAAGTTTGTGAAATGTTTTTTCTTTAATTGGAAGATAAGAGTTTTCTGTAGATGTTTAACTGTTGCAGAGGCTGTGACTCATATCACTTTACAGAAAATTTTGAGTTACTGATATAAAAGAGTGTTGTCAAATGCATAATAATCATATGATCTTATAACTTGGGATCTCTTTCATTTAGCTACAGATGCGTGTATGTCTAACTGTTATTGCCAAGAGATGAATAAGACTATTTTGGGTCCTGAACCTGTTCTCTTTGAAAAGGGTATTTGTGTGTGCCAGTACAAAGTAGGATAATAGCATGTTTTCATAATGTCAAATTAATTTATGTGAATTTATGCTTTTTCTGTGATACCGTACATATAAAATCAGTGTGATTAATGCAAAATAAGTTAAACCAAGACCAAGTTTAGCAGAATCTTAGTTAATTCAGTTAAGATACAGTACTTTAACGTCTCTATTTTCACTAACAGTCTATTTTCACTAATAGTATTTAGCTTGTTGAGTCAATCATGAGGTTACAGAATAGAAAAGAACTTCCTGAAGTGAGCATAATGTTTTGAGAGCTATGTTTTAATTGAATGCTCTCATTCCTTAAAAGAAAAACACAAAATGAAAAAAAAAAAAGCTGTCTGAGGTTGGAAGGCTAGCTATTACATACTTCATACTTCTTTTGTAGGTTTGTAGGTGGAGAGCTGAATATCTGTTACAACGCTGTAGATCGTCATGTTGAGAATGGACGAGGAGACCAAATTGCCATTATTTATGACAGTCCTGTAACAAATACCAAAGACAGAATAACATACAAGGAACTTTTGGACCAGGTATGTTTCAGAATAACCTTGTTAATGAGAAGGGGCAATAAATATTGCACAGTAGGTAAATACCAGAGAGGTAGAAATGATCTACCTCACTAGTTAAGTTCTTTTGCTGTGCTCGGTATTGACTTATAAGCTTTGCTACCTCTGGCAAACTATACTGCATCCAATAGGTTTTGATGCAGTATTTCCTCCATTTCCTCTTTGTCTTCTTCAGTTTAATAACTTTTTTCCCTGGTTGGTTAATTTTTAAGTTGTCTGTATTTGATTTCATTTTCTTTTCCCCTAACAGATCTTAATTAAAAGGTTAATCATAGCATTAGTTGAGTCTCTTGACAGTTGCTGTGATGAGCAAAGGTACAGTTCCATAGAAATTAAATGTGTACCTTGGCTGTTGCTGCACATAACTGAGTGTAAGCCTAAATGAAATTTAACTGGGGGAACTCCAAAGAAAGCTGCATCACCTGCCCCTGTGTAGGCTGTCATGAGGGTGCTGGTGACCCTTCTGTCTGGAAGCTGTGAGGATTTTGACTTCCCTGTTGGCTGAAGTAGCTTGTTCCTGATGAGATTGTGAACATCCAGTTCTGCATCAGCCCATTCAGGTTTACTCCGTGCCTCACCATGGGTTGTTGCCACCATGGGTGTTTGCAGTCTGCCCTGTTGAAAGTTCTTAGCTCTCAGGGCTGTCTGCTGGAGGTTTGCCCTCATGCTGCTACTCTTGTTTAGCTGTCTTTTTTCTTCTAGTTACATGTAGCAGTTGAACTTAAAATTGAGTACAAGGAAATGGTGGAGTTTGACTTGTATTTTTCCTTCACGTGTTTCAATGTGCAAGGTGGATAACTTTGAATGTAACATACAGTGTACTTAGGATATGCATGTAGTGTCTTGAGTAATGTGAGCCTATGGCTTAAAATGTGAAATGAGGTCAGAATACAGTAATTCTGTTTGTGAGAGATTTATTCCACTGTTGCAAGAAAAGAGAAGTCATACAGCTACAAAGAAATTATAAACCTGTTATGCATTCTACCTTTTAAGGAAAATATAGAAAACATGTATTCCTTACCAGTTTTCTATTTATTTGGACACAAATCAAAAGAACAACATGATATACAGTATGCTGGAGCTGGAACAACTAGCTCTGGTGTTTTAAGGAGTCAGAAAACTTTGAAAGGATCCAGCTCCTTACCTATTTTTATTTATACTAATATATATAAGTACAATTAAAATTTTCTATATACAATTTTTGAGTTGTTTGCCTTCAATAATTATGATATATACACAATATATATACAAATAGATGTGTATATATGAAATCAATCTATATATATGTTGCATATAATACTTGGTTAACTTTAATGCAGAAATACAACATTTTAATGTAAGTTATATCAGGTGAACTTTCTTGGTAGAAGTTTCCTCTGAAAAGAACTTGAAAAGTAGCCTTTTTTCTGCTTTTTAAGCTTGATATTATATTAAGTCTCCTAAGTTTATGTCTCTGTAAGTGTATTGATACTCTTAAGACATGGCAAATTTGTGCAAAGTGAGAAAATTTTGCTAGTTGACATATACATCCTTTCATCTACATTTCTTCTTACAGAGCATTGCAAAACCAAGTGGAAGAACTGGTTTAAGTTTTCTGGGGTATGTAGCAGAAGTTCATTCAGAAGTTCATTATAATCTTGCTGGAGGCTGACTCCTATCTAAATACTATTTCTGAATTCTCCACAGTTTGCTCTTAATGAAAAGCAAATAAATGTGAAAGGCAATATTTGATATTAATAGCTTGTCTGTTGGAGCTTTCTGGTCCACTTTTGTAGAGTAAGTTTAATGTGGTTAATCTGCCAGCTACCAGACTCCTGAAAACAAAAGTAACAAAGAGAGATCTGCTAAAAATGGGAGGGGTGTAGGCTATAGTATTTTTTCATGGAGAGTTTAGCTTGCATTGATGTATTCTATGCTTGTGTGTCCCAGTCACTGTTCAACCCAGGAAGGTTTGGAATTCCTCTTTTGAGCATTTTGAATGGTATTTCTGGTTTTGCATCTTTTAAGACAAATTCTTTTGGCATGGACCAAAACTGCTTTTGGTAACTGCTAGGAGCTGAGAACTGAATGACTTAGAAACTTTAGCTGCTAATACAGCTGAAGTATTTGGTTGCTTGGAAAAACTAAAACCATGCTCACTGGTCCATGCCTTTGATAGAAGTGCAATTTATGCTCTGGTCTACCAAGCTGAAAGCCTGCTTGAGTTTCTTACTATATCACTTGGTCTCAAGTGATTTTATTACTGAAATGTCAAATATATTAAAGTGAGTGAGCAGTCTTAAACTTGAAGAAAAGTGGAGAAATAGCATGTTAGTTTTTGAGTGATAAAGTACACTGCACTGTATTTATATAAATCATAAATGACAGCACATTGTAACAAAGTGGAAGGTTTCATGACTTTTAACAGTTTGATGAAATGTCAGTCCTCACTTTTCCACCTTCCCCTTTTTTTTAGAAAGAGTGATTGCTTGGGTGTTTCAGGGCTCCCACATCAATCTGAAGGGCAATGTAAACTTGCTTTACAATGTTCCCCTGTCTTCCAAATAGTTGCAGATAGAGACAGTGTTTTATTGTACGGTCCCAATGTTCCCTGTCTGTCAGAAGGATGAGGGAAAGGGCACAAAGAAAATCATAGATAGCTGTGTATTGTATTGGATTGTTGTCTTCAGTAGCATTACAGTCTTTAGAGTAGGGAAATCAGGTGCAGACAAGTGATTACTGGGTTTGCACAGATGACATGTAGTTCCTGTCTGCAGTATGCTGTACACACGTTCTGCTTTAAATGCAATTTAGGTATGATTGATTTCAATAAAGATTATGTAAGTACACGCAGATCTCTTTGCTGTCTCCCTCCTTTACCCAGGAACCAGATATATGGCTTGTTTACAGGCACTGGGAGTCTTCTATTTAAAAATTACTAATTATAGTCATTAAATAATGTTTTTTTCCTTTAGCAGGTGAACATTGCCTTTTTCATAATTATTAATAATATTTTATGAAATAATGATGATAATAATAATAATAATAATACTTGTCCATTGTGTTTAATTATTTATTGCCCACACTTACAGTGACTATAAAAATACTCATTAAATGTTATTTTCATTGCCTCTGGCCTTTTGTCAGCACTCTGCTTGAGAGTCACAAGCAGAGAAGATAATGATTAGCTCTTTTGTTTCTTTGAGAGAGGGTGATGTTAGCTCTGTGTTTGAAGATTTTAATGTTTTTACACTAGGAATTACAGAAAAATAATTTACCTTTGGAAGTAGAGTTGTTATCTTTATTTACAATTACTTTCACTAATTATACCTAGAAATGACTGTAAATGCTGGGGGTATGGCAATATATTCTAGCTTTTTACATGTCTAGTCTTTGGTTTTTGTTGAGTTTTGATAGTTTATATCAGTTTTATATTAATTTATATTAATTTATTAATAAGTCTAGCATTAAATATATTTTCTCTTGAAAATCAGTAATATTTAAGATATCTGTTCCATACTATCATATAGATACCTGTGTTTGTGTAAGTTTTCAGCTTGGTGTGGTGATGACTTTGCCTTACAAACATGTTATTTCTTGTGGTTGAAAATAACAGCACAGATTTATGCAATGCTTACAGGAAATGGAACTTACGCAGTATCTTCTGATGCAAGAGTGCCTGCCTGGGGCTTCTGTGTGTCCATTTTCTTAAATCCTCGGGGAGAATGTAGAAATGTGCTGTTTGATTGTGGATGAGCTGCAAATTTAATGCAAAGACAGAGCAGATGCTCCTGGAACTTCTGGATTTTACTGTCTCAGGTTACTGAAAGTCTGAACATGTATTTCCACTGAAGAGAGAAACAGTGAGGTTGGAGGTGGATATATAAGAGTACTATGGGAGCAGAGGTGCAGGAAATAATGTCATTAGGCAGAGAGGTACAACAGTAGAAAAGACCACTTAAAGCCAGTAGTGGGCCTTTGATATGCACAGAGTGATCCATGATGCTTCTTTGCTTGGCTAAGTCCATCACCATAGCTGATTTAGTATTGGGTATTTTTAGATGTTCTTTCTGCATAGAAAGCAGTTTATGTCCTTTTCAATATATTTATGAGGATTCTAGTACTGAATGTAGTGGCTCTTTAAAAAGAGAAAACTCAAAATTTTAAATACTATAAAAGAAAGCATTTCTTTCAGAAGATGCCACATTGCCATGCCACAACAAGCAGGTTGGGACAACTTCACAGTGCTTGTCACAGGCTCCCATGCTCACTATAATCCAACTTACTATGTGGTAAATACTAATGAAATATTCAGTACTACTTTTATGACCAAATATTGTGTACTGTCAAAATAATAAATATTTTCTCATGGTGTTACAGGGGCATTGCTGCTGACCAGTCTATAGCATTTTGTGAGTTCCAGTCCTTTGCTACTGTACATAGTCTCTCTTAGGTTTCTGCATAGCAAAAACAAAATCTGACAGTGAGAGCAAGAATTGATTTTAAACCTAGATATTTAAACCTAGATAACATTCTGAATTTGTGTTTCCCTTTGGTTCAGAGTATAAGGTCTCTTGTCTTAGGTTGAGAAGTTTATGACACTGCAGTAAAGAAAATACTACAACATATTGATTTGTTTCAAAGTTAGCTAGATAGGACAGAACTTACATTATGAAATGACCTGTTTACATTAATTCCTCAGAGCTAAAATTGAGAAATATAAACTGTTACCTGAATAAAGGAATGACTGGTAGGCTCTCATTTAAAAATTTGCTAGACATTGCTGTTGATTTTTTTTTTTTGGCTGTACGGACTACAATAATTGGTCTCCTTCCATTTTTATTTTATGAAAGAAAAATGTCTTAGTAGGTTTTTTGCAAGAAAGAAATTGTCTTAAATTTACTGAACCTTGATTACATCACATCAGCTTTCTTTATCCTACTGGCTTGTCTCTTTGATGTTGTGCATCTGTTGACTGTATGAAAGTTTTTCTAGTGGGGCAGCAGCAGATCTGGAGAAACTTTAAATATGAATGTTTTGTCAGTACAGGTCTCCAAGTTAGCTGATGTCATGATCAAACATGGTGTGAAGAAAGGAGATCGCGTGGTCATCTACATGCCCATGATTCCACAGACAGTGTACTGTATGCTGGCTTGTGCGAGGATAGGAGCCATCCATAGCCTGATTTTTGGGGGATTTGCATCTAAAGAGCTTTCGGTTCGCATTGATCATGCAAAGGTAATAACCTGTTTGAAGCAATAAACACCATTGCGTTAGTTACTCCTATTAGTCATTGTCAAAAACCCGTTCTTTGGATTTTTTCCCAGACAGGATAACATTTTTCTTTGTGTGGCACATGGTTTGTTTATAATACCTATTGTTGCGATATGAGCAAAGTACTGTGTCTGTGCTGAGGTTGATACTTGTATAGCAGACACGGAGTGAGCAATTTAGACCCCTTCTACAAAAGCAGGAGTTTAACACACTGTTGTTTGCATAGAGTGTACTTTGTTCTCATGTTTGTCAATCTTTTTCTACTAAGCATCTCCTTAGTATTGGCTTTTGGTTCAGCATTTTCATCAAATGTATGAGGAAAATTCTGCCAAACCCAAGTGGTTTCACTGGCTTGTCTGATGTTTAGGTATATTAGGTAGTTAATTTTTTCAGCTATGTTATGATTTAGGAACGGTATTCCCCAATCTATTGTTCTCATTGAAACACTCCAAACCTTATGTTGCTTGTTCTCTCCCCCCTCTCCCTCTTCCTCCCTGTGGTGGGACGAAGAGGAAAATTGGAGGCCTAAAAGATAAAGATCAGGTTGACGTAAGAACGATGTGCTAGAAACAGCAATGAAATAAATGAACAGTAGCAGCAACAATATTGATAGCAGAGTATACAAGAGAGGCAAACGATTCACGCCATGCTGAACCCACACTGCCCCACCACACTCTCCAGAAAGGAGCCATCCCTCTTGACATCTATGGAAACAGTTGTCCTAAATAAGTGACTGTGCTGATTACATAATTAATAGAGATGAATGCTTTAAAGGCTCCTGTGTTCGGCATAAGTTGAACTTGTTTATAAAGTGTTATGATCTCTGTGTTACTGAAATGACAATAGTAGTTGACTATTCTAAGTACCTTATATAGGCATATTAGTAGCGTGCTTATTATGCGTTAGTTTCAAACCAGCTAACAATGGAATGGCCTATTCTTGTTTTCCACTAGTGAACAAGGTAAAGTCTTTTGTCACCTTGATCAGTCACCTAAAGCATTCAGACTCTCTGTTGTAGTCATCTTATCTTATCATTCATCTAAGCAATGAATGTTGCTTAGATGTATAAACCAGAAGAGAATTTTGTGTAGGGTTCAACTCTCCAGGATTTGTGGAACTTTTATGTAGATTTCTGTGTGCAGAAGTGCTTTTTAGATGACTGAGTTTCAGTTTTATAAATATCTGTAAATAGAGAGTTGAATGCATTCCCCTCTCTCCTTGATGCTTTAACAAAGATGTTAATAAAATGGCCAAAATGGTTTGTTGGAATGATGAAAAAAGGCTAACGACAGCTCTCTAGTTTTCCCTTTCTTTCCCACTTACACATTTTTCTAACAAGCTATAAAATAATGTATAAGAAAAAAAATATAAGCTTTAAAAATGGAAGTTGCTACAAATACAAATTATGTAGCATGTTTACTTTAGAGTATTTTGTAATTATTGACTAATTAATCCCAATGGTTTTTCCTCAGGGGATAAAAGGGAGACAGCGCAATAATCATAATCCTTGCTTCATGCATTAAAATGAAAAGAGAGGAAGTTAAAATTTTCTACCCAAGGTCACATAGCAACTCTTTTGAAGAGTTAGCTATATAATTATTAGCTGCAAACCATGAACTAAGTCCTAATTTACATTGCCTTTTAGTTTCTTTAAAAGGCAGTATTATGGATGATTTTTGGTCCATCTGATGTATAATTAAAATGTGAGTAAGGGAGGCATATCCTCAATCTAAGTTTCGAAACATGCTCCAATTTTCAGCGTGACAAAGCTTTCACGATAAGTGAATTGCACACTCTTGAGGCTGCCTGTAAGTACCTGTAATAGACAGTAAAAATGTTGAATAAATAAAGCAGTTGCACAATTAGCTAACCTTTTTATCAGGCTTTTATGTGAATTGGTTTAGATGCTGCAGTACAGGACCTGATATTGGTAAAATTAATTAGAAAGCGTTAAAGATGTGCAGTGGAAAGCTGGTTGTAAGATGCTCTTGTAGAAGAAAGGTCAAACTTCATACTCTGTTGGAAAGTCTGAGTGAAAGAAATAACAAGCACTTTCTGGCGACTATGAAAAGGTACACTTGGCCAGCTTAGCCTAATTTATCTTGAATTTTAAATAGGTCTGGGAATGCTGCAAAGTCCTGCAGCTGGTAATTTCTACTTGTGTCAGATTGGCAGTTACAGGCATTCTGCAGTGAATTGTGATGAAGTGATACAGAGCATGAAAACAGGATTTTTTGTCATCTTTCTTTTTACTTCAGTCTGGGAATATATAATTTGTAATGTTAAAGCAATAGGTAGGTTCATACAATCATGGAACAGTTGGAAGGGACCTTTAAAGGTCATCTAGTCTGACTTCCCTGCAGTGAGGAGGGCATGTTCAGATAAATCAGGTTGCTCAGAGCCCTGTCAGACCTGACATTGAATGTTCCCAGGGGTGGAGCATGTATCATTTCTTTGAGCAACCTGTGCTCAACCACCCTCATTGCAAAAAATGTCATCCTTACATCTAGTTTAAATATACCCTCTTATAGTTTAATACCATTACCTCTTTGTCCCATTGCAGCAGACTTTGCTCATGTCCAGCTTTTCATCCACCAGTATCCCAAGTCCATCTTGGCAGTGCTACTTTCAATCCCTTCATTCCCCAGACTGCATTGGTTTTTGGAGGGCTTGGCCTGGCACAGGTGCAGGACCTTGCACTTCTGCCCTGTTGAAGCTCATTAAGTTGTCATGGGCCTACTCCTTGAGCTTGTCCATGTCCCTCTGGATGGCGTCCCCTCCTTCAGGAGTGTCAGTTGCATCACTTGAGGAGTATTAGAGAGTATAGAAGAATTTGTAGAAGGAGTCTTTACAACAGAATAAAATGTTGGTCTTGTACCAGCATCTTTTACTATTGACCCTTGCTTTAGCTCATTTCTACTTCATAACATTGCTGTTTTTTTTCTATAGCTCACTAGCTATGTAGTTTCTTCTCCAGCAGACCCTTGAACTCTTGCTGTTTTTTCTTCAAACTTGTTAAATGTCTATCTAATCTTAACATATATAACTACATGGAGCCACAGAAGAGGTGGGAAATGGGTGTATGAAAGCAATATGGGAGCAGGAGAGGTGCAGGAGAAATAATGTCATCAGGCAGAGAGAAGAAAAGAGCAGTTAAAACCATTAGTGGGCCTTTGATTTGCCTGGAGTTATCTGTGATGCTTCTTCACTTTGGTAGTACATCACCTTAGCTAATTTAGTATGGCTTAGTTTTAGATGTCCTTACTACATACAAGGCAGCTGATGAGCACAGGAGGGATCATCTACAAATTACTATAAAGCTAATGATAACAAAAGTCTTTCATCTTAACACTTGAATAGGACTGTGCATCTTTTATTTATTACAGTCTGACTAAAAGGTGGCCTCCCAATGAATTTGCAGCTTAACTGCATTGTATTGTATCATCTTCTGTTAAATCAGTGCATTCCAAAAAGGAAAATCAATGAATGCTGAAATTTTAAAGCTCATCCAGAGTCTTAATATTGAATACACGCCAATTAAGGATCTTTCCTGAATGACAGATTTGGACAGGAAACATTTTATTATTGCACAAGAGAACTATTTAATCTGTGCTTTCTCTGCTGAATTTAATTTTGCCTTAACTGTGACACTGTGGTTTATGCCTACTTAATGGGATTTATGCTAATGCATACAATTAGTAAACTAGCTTGATCAAACTGAGCACCATATGATAAATACATTTCTAAAACTTCAAAACAACAGAGATTGAAGACTCATTCTTTTCCAAGTAAAATATGTTTTCTAACACATAGTTTCTTTGGTGCTACCTTTTCTCTCCTGAAAAACAAAAAATAAAAATACCAAGCTTCGGACTGAAGTGGAAATAGCTTCTATGCAGATTTTTTCACTTAGGCAGTCTTACTTAAAAGCTGTGGTTAATTTCTTGAAAAAGATGTGAAGTCTACATTTGTAAGCAGATATTAGTCTAAAAAACCCCAGATCCATACAAATCTGCTTTTTAGTAATTTTGCACCCTCAGTCCTTCAACCATCTCTTGAAAAACTCTAGCCTTACTTCCCTCATGTGCCTTATGACTTTTGCTTATTCTCTTCCTGTATTTCTAGTTTCTTGCCATCTCTTGTTTGCCTTGTTTTCCCTCTTTCTTCTCCCTTCTGTCCTGTGACTTTCATTGCAGGCTGTGAAAAGCCAGCAAAGCTCTTCAGCTAGTATTGAAATGTGAAATTGGAAGCATTAGGTAGAATGCAAAACAGTACAGCTAACTGTTGACATCACTGCACCACTCTTCCTTAGTGGAGGAGCTGAGATGGACAGGGGTTTCTCTGTGTTCATTAATATTTATGGAACTAGTAAGAAGTTAATACTGTTGATTTCTTACTCAAATGTGTTTGAAAACAGTGAAGTGTCAGAAGGTATTAATGTTCTTCCAAAGAAAAAGCAGACGCATGGACAGCAAGATCACACAAGCTTGATTTACTCTAGAAAACTGATCTAACCCCTGTGTCTAATTATGTAAAGATAAATTGTATATGTTGAATTTAATAAAAAATATTATTAGGTTACATATCTAAAGTACATTGCAAATGTGCATATTAACTCTTCTCTTTTCAGCCCAAACTTATTGTAACAGCAAGTTTTGGAGTAGAACCGAAAAGGAAAGTGGAATACATATCTCTCCTAGAAGCAGCACTGGCAAGGGTACAGAGCAAACCTGATAAAGTTCTCATTTACCAGCGACCTAATTTGGTGGGTGTACAGTCGTACTGCCTTTATGTTAACCTTCACTTATTTGTGTAGTGCATGTGCCTTTACTTTTTTGCAAGAAATATTTTACTGTATTTTTGTAGTTTGTTTTTTTATTTTAAAGGTGAGCATTATATTCATAAGATTTAAATACAAAATAGAACTAATGCTGTAGAGAGATTACAGAATATTGAATAGTACTGTATAAAAAATTTGAATAGTACATGTTTTTTTAATGAATTACATTTATTCCATGTGGTTTTCTTTTGACAATTTTCTTATTTTTCAATGGGCAGGGCCATGTTCCTCTTACCAAAGGTCGTGATCTCGACTGGGAAGAAGAGCTTGCAAAAGCCCAGTGTTCAAAATGTGTCTCTGTTCCCTCAGACCATCCTCTTTATATTCTGTATACATCTGGAACAACAGGTTTGCCCAAGGTAAAGGACTATCAGTAGTCTAAGTGTCTGTGACCAACTATTTGCAGTTCCCCATGAAAAAATATTTAATTGAAAAGGTTGAAAATGTTTGCCAGGGCACAATGTTGTAAATTATATGCATTCTACAAATGGTTTAATCTCATTTATTCACATTTCACTATTTTAAAGGCAGTGTCTAGGAATAAATAATGTTTTTAAATTTAAACAGTAGTAATATAAAGATAAGATGCATTTTCTTCAATTGTTTGTACAAAATAAACTTTTGAGGATAGCAGAATGTCTTATTCAGTACTATCTTCTGTGTTTTAACTTTCTTAGATAAGCATAGTATAGTTACTTAATGACAAGACCAGTTAATATATCACTTGTGTGATTGCATTTATTGCTGACTAATCTCGTTCATTATTTACATATTAGCTAATTTTCTTGTAGATAAGATGTACTGAATGACATTACAGATTAAATGAAATAAAGCATGTTCTGAATGCTTCTGTTACTGCACAGTTCTGAGTACATAATACCCTGAAAATAGAAGTTTAGATTAAGTGAAAACTAACAAAGGTTATTCTTTGAAAATGTTTGTTTTGAATGTAAATTAGTTTTAACAATGTATTTTTAAAGGATTGTATTTTAAAAGTTAACTCTGTGAGTGTTTGCCTGGTACTTAAAATACTTTTTTACAATGTGGAGGAGAAGCTGAATATAATTTTCTGGCAATAGTCTTGCCACCACTGATTCAGACAGTATCACACATCCTGGAGAGAACATTTATACTGCTAAAAATTATTTAATGGCGTTGCCTAAGTTGTCTAAAGTTCAGAATCTCTTAGGATGTAAGGGAAAACAAACATCAATTTTGCTGAGAAAAATGTCTTCTGCTTTTACCTTCAATGTGGGCCCTTGAAAGCAACATATATATGCTAAATCATACAGTTGTATTGTCAAAAAAACCAAGATAAGATCCTTTGTTGCAACAGATATTTTCATGACTGGGTATCAATAGAGTATCTCAGAGGTAATAGGTCTTAGAAGTTTACTTCAATGTGTTGTCCCTGCAGAGAAAAATAAAGATACCTTGAATCAATCACCCTTACAAGAGAGAGATTTTCAACTAAAAGTAAGCTACAAAAAGTAACTCTCAGTGAATAAAATTGCTTTTTTATTCATCTAAGTAACTTAATTAAAATGGTCATGCAGGTAAAACTACATGAATTTTTTTAGGATTGGTTGTGACCATCCTAAAAACTTTTGTTGGTCTCAGAACAGAGGCTAAGTTAGAAGCTGAGTTGAACAAAGGCAATCTCCTGTCTGAAATTGGTGAAGTGTTCGTAAACCATTCTCTGCCTTAGCAATCTCCATTTTAATGAGTTAATGTATCTCTGCAGTCCCTCATTTCTTGGATGAGGCCTGAAAGTGCCTATTTCATTCTATTAAGTGCATCAAGAGAATATACCATGCCTTGCACAGACAGCTGCATTGTAATGTCTGCACACTGCATATTTGTTTGGTCCAGTGGGTTTCATCTGAGTTTTAGTTCAGGACACCAGGACGTAGTTTCCTTAATTCTTTCTTCTAGGAATAATGTGCTAGAAGGTGATGAAATATATATTGACCATACTAGTATTGCAAAATATGTCTAAAAGTTTCCTGTTAATGATGTTCCAGAGCTGGTTTTTGGTTTACCAAGGTGCATGATGCTGTTGATGACCTCTAATTCTAATTTTCAGATCCCTCTTTTAGCTCAAGACTGGGGTGGTATTCATTTAGCATTCATGCGTGCTGGATAGTAAACTTTCAAGAATATACTCTGACATCTTTAAAAAGAGTCAGAGCAAAAAGGGATATTTGAGGGAGTAATTAACCCCATTTTTTTCAGGGATCATCTACTTTGCAGGTGTGAAGATGATATAGATAAACTAGGCAATGAGTTTAAAATATGCCTAGCATTGGGATGGTACTGTTTAAGTGAGGTAAATACTTTAACTCTTATTTTTTGTCAGTATATATTAACTGAATATTTGTATATCCAAGTTTTATGAGAGAATTTTAGCTTTGTTAGTTATCTTCTGAATGTTTGCTTTATTGTATGTTTGGTTTTAGTTTTCAAAAATTACTTTAGTGGAGGTGCTCACATGTTCTTGTTGGAATAGATCCTTTTCTTGAGTAAGAAGTATTGAAGCTGGACAACTTTGATTCCATTGCTGCTAAATCCTTAGCATTTAATTGAACACAGCATTATGATTGTATCCTTCAAATCTTCATCTTAAATACTCAAATTTTCTCATTTAGGGTGTTGTGAGACCAACTGGTGGCTATGCAGTTATGCTGAACTGGACCATGTCCGCTGTATATGGCCTCAAACCTGGTGAGGTAATTCTATTTAAATGTCATGTAAATTTTTTTTAATGCCTTTTATTACTCCTAACTATAATTTTATTTATATTTAATTTTAGGTATGGTGGGCAGCTTCTGATTTAGGCTGGGTTGTTGGTCATTCCTACATTTGCTATGGACCTCTCCTTCATGGTAATACTACGGTTTTGTATGAGGTATGAAAAAACCTTCTAAAAAGTCTAAAACACCTTCCTTGGAAATGGCAGCATCTCCTTCAACTGATGATCCAGATGATCCTGTTTATGCCTGTCATTTCTTCATGCCACAGATATTTAAATTGTGTGTGTATCATCAGTGTTTATACTCTCCCACCTATTGCAGTAATTTTTAAAGAAAACTTACTTCACTGTCCTTGAAGCTTGTCTATATTTGTGTGAAGGGTGATGGTTAGAGGCATAAGGAGCCCTGAAACAACAGAACTAGAAATGACAGATGGTGGAGTGTACCTGTGTTATTGATTAAACTACCTTTATTTTGGAATTAGGAGAGGGCGGCGTTGTGTTTTGCATGTCTTGTGATGAAAAATACTTAATGGAGCTTAGTTGGATGCAACTGAGAACTGTATGCTTGGAACCAGAACTTCTAATGAGAGTTGTCTCTTTTTTTTTTCTCTTTACCACTCAAGGAAACTGAACCCAAGACACAGATGACATTTGGGACTTAGTCCTTCCCTTCAGGGGATGAAAACTAGTGGAAGGGGGAGAGGAGACTAGTCCAGTTAGAGTGGTCTGGGGCATCCTTACTTTGCTGCTCAAAAAAGTAATCATGCTGCCTTACATTGTTATTTTTACAGAATTTATTGCTGATTGTTCTGAGTAACAAAGAGCAAAAACTTCACCCAGTAGCAGAAATGCGCATCGTAGACTTAAATATTGTATTAGCTTGAGTATTAATTACTATAGTCTAATTAATGTTTAAATGCCTAATAGATGTTAATTAGATTCTTCATTCTAAGGGGATTAACTCAGCACTACCACAGTAGTTAAGCAGAAGAGGAAAGCGGTGTAAGAAAATTGGCAAGCACTTGCAGATAATAAAAAGACTTTGGTAGTTTTATAGTGACTGTTTTTGAATACTGACAATGTGCTAGGCCACATTAAAATTGTTGCATGAATTGTCAGAAGAGAATCACTGCAATGAAGAGGTTTTCATTCTTGCAGTTGTAGAGTAAGCCAAGAAGGAAGTGAAATAAGGAGTCCTTCAGCATTTCTGTTGCACAGTCATCTTACAGTGAAGTTTTATCTCCATGTGAATGCATGGGGATCAACGTGATTATTGTAATTGTAAAGGTACCTCTGAATTTAAACTGTTGTAAAAAAAAAGGAGTATAAATCTTATTTTTTTAACAGTAAACATAAAGAAAAATTAGAGTTAGTATCAAGTTGACATACATATTTGCTTTGTCTTTATTTGCTCTTGGTGAGATCTTATTAAAAAGAAATAGGACATTTCCCATTTTTCTTCTCCAAGATGCCACTAATCAAGGCTTCAGACAGTGTTCATGACATAAGTGTCATCTTTTTGAGGGTTAATAATGGGAAGAAAAGGAAAGTGTCTGTACACACAGGAATATAAGCAATATTTATAAAGAGAATAGTGCATAATTTTTCCTCTTCTCAGAAGACTGTATTAATAGTAAATATTCTGAAATTTTTAGTCAAGTCTCCTAAACGTTGCCTAATTAAATATTTTGGGTTAGGGAGTATCACTGTTTAGCCATGGGGGAAGAACATCACATTCCTTTTGCATGTGGACAACCACTATTGAATATAAAGTATGCTGACTTCATACCCTCACTAATTCAAGTGTTTTGTTTATTTTTAATCTACTTAGGTGACAACTTGTCATTTAAAAAATTACTATGGAAATTATGCTTTTAGTTTTCACTTGCTGTTGCACTGTTTTCAAGAATGCAAAAATGGTGATGAATTCTTTTGAATTCAAAAGCAAGTGTATTTTTTGTTTTGTTTTGTTTGGTTTAAATAATCTATCCTGTGTTTTTTTCTCCAAAACAACAGTAACAAATAAGTCACCTGAAGTCTCACAGCCCACTCTGGGTTGCTCTTGCTAATAGGGTTTCAAGCTGTAAGCAACAGGGCAGTATTAAGAGAAAGTCTAGTTACTATTTGTGGTCCTGTGATATCAGGGGAAAGGCAGCATTGTAGTGTTTGGGACTTTGAACTAGCGTAAGGAAGAGGATACCCACACTTGTCAAGAACCAGGCATTAAGGACTTCATTTGAGTGGTCTAGGTCAGAGGAGGACCTACTGTCCCACACAGAGCTGTAGCATCTTGTGTGCCTGGAGTCTCTCACAAGGCTCTCTGGAGTCCTGTAGTTGCAGCAGATTTGCAGAATACATAAGAGCAACAGGTTTGAAACTACTCTTCCTTGGCACAGTTCTTGTAGATATCCAGCTTTTCCTGCTGTTTTTGTAAGCCAGTATCATCAGCTTACAAAGCCAACACTGTCTCTGAGGTCTGGCAGGGATCACTCTGCCATCATACATACTGATTGTGGAGCAAATTCAGTAGGACATGTTGTCTCAAGTCTTCAGTGGAACTTTGGCAGCAGGGTCATTATAAGAAGGCTGAATGCCTCTGTGGGCATATTCTTTTGAGTCCTGATATGTCAGGATTTTGTGTGTGTTTTGGCATCAGCAGGTTTTAGTGGCATGCAGTACATTTTCTATACAGAGAAAATTTCCTCATAATTTTGGATTTAGTGGTAATTGAAGATCCCATTGTTGTTAGGGGTCAGGCATAAAGGGAATTGATGCACTTTTACTCCTGAGTTTTTGGATATTTTATTATAGCTCTTCTGTGTCTCTTCCCTCAAGTAATCTCTGCAGGTGGCTTCTCACTTTCTCCATACAAGATCTTTCCTATTCCCTTGGTAATTCTTGGTGTCTGTGAATCTTTTTTGATAATCATGTATGAAATTATAAATCATCAGCACATTGTCTCCGGATGTCTGCTTAGCTGTTTGACATCTCATAAATAGCATGCTAAATCAAAGTGCTTCCAGAAAGATTTCCCTGTCTGTCTGTCTGTCTCAGTCTCTTGGTAGGTCTTTTCTGTGAGAATCTTCCTAGTTCATACAAGAAGTATCTGTTCTTACTTTTCTCTTTTAAGTTAGGTGAGACAGATCACTCTCTTTCTGACTGCCTTTGTCCTGTTTACTGTGCTCTCATTTCCTGTCAACCATAGATATTATTGCCAGTAATTTTTAAAAATCAATTTTCATCTCCAGTATTGATGCAAATACTGGTTTTGAACTGATCCCTGCAGAAATCCAGTGGAAGTGTCTCATTTCCTCAGTCCCCAGTTGACTCAGCAGTCTGTCAACATATTCTGAATTCAATTACACTGTGGTTTACTGTTTATATTGCTAACTTTTAAAAATAAAAATTGCATGTGGTAATAAGACTTCATGGAATATGGTAGTACTTCTTAAAATTTTCGTATAATAAATGACTACTCTCTCTGGCAATTTCATTTGTAGGTTTTGAGCTCTGAAATTAATTTGCACTGTCTCAGATATGTGTTACAATCTGATTATAAGGGAGATTAATTAAGGTGCAAACAAGACCATATGCCATAGTCAATAGCATGGATTTTATTTATCAGTAAATATGAGGTAGAGAGAGAGATAGAAAGAAATATAAAAAAGAGGAGGGGGGATAGAAAGGGAGACAAATTAGGGGAAAGTTAGTTACTGCCCTGTGAATCTAGGGCATCCTGTTCATCCTCTTCTTCTGGTCTTCTCTGTGGTGGGTGTCCCATGAAATATAGAATTCAATGGGAATTAATATATATTGTATATATATACATTGTATACATTGTACATAATATATACATTGTAATATACATTGTATGTGACCGTGTTCACAGGGGTCTTATGTTGAGACAAGAGACTAGGATCTGACTCCATTTTTCAGAAGGCTTGATTTATTATTTTATGATGTATGTTACATTAAAACTGTACTAAAAGAATAGAAGAAAAGGTTCTCATCAGAAGGCTAGCTAAGAATAGAAAGGAAAGAATGATAACAAAGGCAGCTGTCCCAGACTCTCTGTCCGAGCCAGCTGGGCTGTGATTGGCCATTAATAATATATATCCAAGATGGGCCAATCATGGATCCACCTGTTGCATTCCACAGTAGCAGATAACCATTGTTTACATTTTGTTCCTGAGGCCTCTCAGCTTCTCAGGAGGAAAAAATCCTAAGGAAAGGATTTTCATGAAAAGGTGTCTGCGACACATTGTACATACATGAATGCCCAAGCACCTCCCCTATGAGGGAGTTTTACACTGTCTTATGCAGCAGAATCTGAATCCATTGCAAAACTTTGAATCGCTTGCAGTCCTATGGTATAAGGCCTGAGGAAATAGTCTGGGGACCTTTGGGGATCTCTGGTGGTTTATGACCCCTTCTAAGACATGAGAGTCGTCTCTCACGTGGTAGTCCCCTGGTGGTGGCTGGGACACCTCTATCCTATGTGGACCAGAGGTTTTGCCATCACACTCCCAAAAACTCACCTCCTCCCTCTTGGATGCATTCTTCTTTCCCAGCCCTGTTTATTTCTCCTAGAGGTAGTTGGACAGTAGTGCCACCTTTATCTTATCTCAAGTTCCCTTAGGTGGCTTAACTCACAGTCAGAATTCCCATGAGGAGGCATATTTGGAGGGATGGACTTTGGTTGCAGATGAGCTTCTTTGCACACTTTGCTACAGTGGGCAAACTACTTCAGTGATCTTAAAAATGTTTGAGCCATTAACCATTTCAGTCTGGTTCTTCCCATTGGGAAGTTTTTCTGCAGAATCTGTAAGAATATTTTATACCTGTGCCAGATTTTTTTTTCTCCATAAATGAATATCTTATTCTCTGTGTTATATTTCCCATCAGCTGTCAGGTGAATTTTCTCCTCTTTCTATTGTTTGTCTTTTATTTGTTTTTCTCCTGTATCTGGTAACTCCAAACCTAAACTGCTTTAGCTTACCTGTGACATAAATATCGACCTGTCAGAGTCCTGCATGTTTACCTGAGCACTCCTGAAGATTTAACATTTTGTGTAGAAGATGCTGTCAGGCTCAGGCTTGCTGGAAGTTTGAGGCACAAGCATGTCTGTGACATAGCTCAGGCAAAGATCAGGTGTGAAGCAGGATCTGGGAGGGAGTGGGTGTGCTCAGGACCACATAGACCTTTTATGGGCTCTGCATATTTACATTTGGTTAAAAGTAACAGCCTAATTTATTACTGGCTGACTAACCAAGTTCACCTTGCTCCACAGCTAGGTGTTTTGGTGTCCAAGATGACTGATACTAATTCAAGTACATAATTACTTCATGAGAAGCTTGTGGCAATTTGGTGTTTTTCACAGTCTGCGGCTGTTTGTTCAGCACTAGTGATGTGGGCTTGAACTCTTAAGTAGGTGCCTACAGATCTGCAGGTATAGTGAATATTACAGGGAGAGAGTGTCAACTTGAACAAACAGGTTCATGAACAAGCACTGATGAACACATGAAAGTTGTGATGAAGTAGTCTGCTGGGGAGATGTTTCAAGACAGTCTGGTAAAAGATTTTTCTATTACTGTGTATTATCTGACAGGTACTGTGTGTTATCTGACAGGAAAAAGGACATAACTCACTTTCTAAGCAAGCATCATTTTACATTTCTTATTTGAAATTAATGATAGGCTAATTGCAGGAAGAGAGCTTTTCCTGTTGATTATACTACTCTTCTGGAAATTTATTTTCTCTCCATTTGTTTCTTACTGCCTGCTTAATCCTTTTCAAAAAACGGCTTTTCAATTGTGCATTCTGTTTTGTCTTATTTTTAAAATCTTTTGTGGTGCTCCTCTTTTTTGAGAACTCCTCTCAGCAGGAGCAGTATCTCACCATAAAGCTGCAAAACCACTGGTACATATCCAGCCTTGGCTGTCCTGTGTTCTTTGAATCTGATTAATGGTTCACCAGTGCTCTTGCCAGTGTTCAGGCCCAGCTGGATGCAGTAGGAAAAGTGTGTGTCTCTCGACTTGCGTGCTCTGCCAAAGTTCATCTTCTAAGCGTGGCCTTTCCAGTGAAAAGGTTATGGTGATACCTGTGGAGCTAAAACTCATTCTACATTAGCATCACCCTCTAATTTCAGAATATGTATGGAGCAGTTCGTGCACTGTGGTAATTACGCTTACAGTGAGATTGTGACTATATGATTCTGTGCTGACTGCTTATCATATTTTCAACACCATAAAAAGGTATTCTTGATTATTTTTTATTAGGATTACTTTCCATTGAACAATTTGTCATAAATGATTACTTCTGTTTACAATTCTCTTGGGTATGCCCCTTGACTAAGCTCAAGAAAACCCCAACCCCAAAACCAGTCCACAATCTGGTAGCACACTAAAACAGAATAGGGGCCCTTTAGGATCTCTCCAGGCTACATGTGGGATATCGTGGTTCCAAAAAGTCAGTTGTAAGAAGCTAAGTGGCAATCTTTCCAGATTTGAGAAAAATTTCTAGGTAAGAAAAAGCTATCTGTGCATGGGAATATAGCTGCAGTGCCAGTGTGTCCAGAGACTCCTTGTTCAGAGGGAGTGTGGGTGTTTTCTAAACTGCATCTCAGGGTAGATGTAGACATGACTCTCTCTCTGCTGCCAGTGCAATAACATATCTTTGTCTCTGTCTTTTCATTTGCATGTCCATTTGTCCTAATTTTCTAAGTAGTAACTAGTATGTGCTGTGTTCATGTAAGGCATGGTTCCCAAAGCTCGTGAATTTATTTCTACCGGTGAATACTTTCACAGTATTATTATTTTTAACAAAGCTTCCTTTGAAGTCTTACTTGAAATTACTTCTGTTGCTGTGCTACCACTACTGTTACGTGCTCAAGGCTTGAACTGTCAAGGAATTATGAGATATTTTTGTCCTGTGACATTTTAAATTATTCTCTCCATAGGGGAAGCCTGTGGGAACGCCAGATGCTGGTGCCTATTTCCGTGTGCTAGCAGAGCATGAAGTAGCTGCCTTCTTTACTTCACCAACTGCAATTAGAGCAATCCGTCAGCAGGACCCTGAGGCAGCCTTGGGAAAGCAGTACTCGCTGAAAAGGTGAAGTAAGGATACACTGGAAGCAGTTTTTTCCAGAAGCAGGCTGCATGAGCTAAGAGTAACAGAGAATCTGGGGTTTTGCCCACCTCTGTAGAGTGCTATTTTAATCTATTCTTGAAAATTTAAGTGTATACATGCTAGCTTGCAAATTTCTACTGATAGTTTTGAGGAGATGAAAGCTGTTAAAGAGTCTATGACTCTAATGTTAAGAGCTTTTACTGAGTTAGAATTCCTCTCCCATCTTTTACTTTACTCCCCTGTGCTTATACTCTGTAATACAGTCTTGGATTATGTCATCCCATACTGCTTTTTCTGCATGACCTCTCATTTTGTTAAGGATGCACAGGATCTTTAGTGTTTGTTTAATCAGAAGCTAGTCAATGTTTTGGTTGTTGCCCCAAAACTTCATTATTGTTTATGATTATGTATCCAAAGGGCTATTTTATGTCTTGTACTGCTTTTAAGGTGCTTATCACTATACTATCAGCATGCTTCAAAGTCTTGGCTGAGTTCATCCTCATAAATCCCCTGTGAGGTGAGAGAGTGGTATTATCTGTATTTTGCAGATGGGAAGCTGAGTCCAAGAGATTAAGGTCAAAGTCTTCTGTTAGTTTCAAATATCTAGTCTGAGCCACTGAAATACCACTGTTTGAAAGATTGTAGTATTATATGCTTAAAATGTGGTGTTAGCATTATATTTATGAAGTGTTTCTCATAGTAACTTGGTTTGTGAGTGTTCAATACTTCTACACTCAAAGTTTCTGTATCTTATGGTAAACATTCAAAAAATGAAAAAAATATGTGGGTTTGGACCACATCTAATCTTGAAGTTGAATGATTTGCTCAGCATCAAACAGGGACTGTGTCAGACTGTAAAGGCAGTGTTCAGTCACAAGAACATCTATTACCACACTTGTTCAAAGAGAAGGGAAGCTTTGTTAGACCTCCACATTCTTAATTGCTCAGGAAAGTTTATTATTAGTGAGCTGGATTTTTTCCTGAGGTATTCATTACAAGCTTATCATTACTTTCTTCCATCTGTTTTGACTACTATCATCAGCCTTTACTCCTCCCTGAAATAAGAAAGAAGCTCATTTGAGACAGTAATGCGCTATTGTCCTATGACGTTAATTGACAAGAAAGTGATTCAGATTCTAGAAAATTTAATTGCCGTTCCTTGGCATTTCTTAGACAATTACTTTGTCTTTAGAGTATTCATTTAATGGGAAATCTGCTTACCTGCTTTGTAAATTGTCACATTCTCTGGCCAGATGAGAATTCTAGCTCAGTCTCCTTGCAGTATCCGTTGCCACAGATATAAAGAGGTATTTCATCATTCCTATTCAGTCATATCAAATGAGCTTCTCCACTTGTCTGCAGCTTTAGTTGTCTCATAATTCACTCAGCTTTGGACCATGTAGTTCACAGGGATGTGAGGTCTCTTTACTAAACCCTCTTATGCATCATTTAATATCTAGTAGGTACAGTTGTTAAGAAAGTCTATCAAGTGATTAAAATTTCCATTCTAGGGAAATCCTTGGGTTTGGGTGTTACGTGGATAGACTTTTCTATTCAAGGTCAAGTGAATTATGTCTGATTCAGTTTGAAAGCATTCTTACTTTTAGTTCATTTACTTGATCTATGATGCTTTCTTCTTTGTTACATGGTGAAGAATCTTTGAAATGTCCTTGTGCTACATGCACTAAAACGAATCCTTACTTTAGAGACTGCATCCAGGAATGCAGTCCTGAAAGAGGTTTCCACCATGGTACATTTTATTTCTGAAAAGTTCTGTTAAATAAATGGTAAAAGTCAATGTCGCTTAAAAAAATAATGTTAAAAAAGGCAGTTACTGATGAAAAAAGAGATGGTAGGCAATGCCAGCTTCCATACATAAGGGAGCATTTGATTTACATCAGTAAACTGCATTATAAACTAACTTGTGTTCTTTTGAAATGATGTAAGTGAAATAAATTTCTGTTAAGAACTGATGTTTGTGGCATTACTCGCCTCTGCACAGAATTATATATATGAGTTTTCCAAAGGTTCTAGTGTGCTTTAAATTTCTTGTGTCTATTGGAGCCAAATCTTGAAATTTCTTTACTTTTGACACAAAATGCCACCTATGTCTAAAACACAGCTCATGCCTAACAGTAAAACAGATGTTTAGTTTTTAGTAGTGTAGGTCAAAAGCCCTGTTCAACCACCTATTTATAGAGATCTAAAGACATAGCTTTTGATAATATCCAGTGCTGCTGAGCATTGCTGCCTTTTGTGTTGGAAAAACAAGTAACATCCAAATTCCATGAGCTTTGTCTACGTAAGCATATTCTGTTCAGCTCTTTGAATCCATTCTCCTCTTCAGAAGGTAGTTCCATAATACCAAGCCATTAGCTCTTCCTATACTTGAATCACACTTCATCCTACAATTGACATAATTGTTGTGAGCTGGATTGTTCTAATTTCCAAACAATTGACAAGTGATGGTTTTACATGAAATGTGGCAACAGCTCAGCAGTTTGGATTAATGTACAAGTAATTTGCCATTTGTGTCCAGTAGTCTACTCTGCTTCCTTGACTCTTGGTCAGTTGAGAATGTTCTGCAATTTTATATCAAGAGCATTTAAAGATTCTAGGTTGTGTTCATCTGATGCCCGATAATAATGGACTTTAAAAAGAAATATGAGACTGCATAAAAACTGTGCAGAAATAATGAATATAAAGTAGATAACAAACTTCCATTATCTGTCTCGTAATGCAGGAACAAGAGGAAGTGAAATTAAAGTAGCAAATTCAAAACTATTAGAAGGAAATATTTTCTCATAGATTTGACATTTCACATATGCTGCTAGGAGGATATATAATTAAGACCCAGAACTTGTTACAATCGAAGTACGTTATGCAGTTCTCCCTGCTGCCTCCTACTCTGTGCTGCTGTTGATCATACGTGGCCTGTCCTGGTGGAGTCCTGAACTGTGCTCATGAACAGCCTTGTGGAGCTGCAGTTGTGTTCTGTGTCTTTCTCTGTGACTGTCACTCAAACATCTAATGCTTAGATTCTCATATCCAAGGTAAAATCTGTTTAGGGAAGGAAATGAACAAGCACATCCATGGAGAAAAATCAGAAGATGTGAAAACATTTTTTTAAACTTTGCATGTTTAAATAAATAATTAAACAAAGAAACACATATATATATATATATATTTATATATATGTGTGTGTGTGTATATATATATATGTATGTATGTGGTGTCCACATGCATTAAAAATTAGTAAGAATTCTTTATTTCCAGGCAATGTTTAGAGGTGCAAATGAACCTTCATTGCTGTATTTTTAGGAAAAAAAGCTTATGTAGTATCATGCAGACAGAGTTTTTCTTTGCCAGAATGCCCCCCCCCCCCCCCCCCCGCCAACTGGTGTGTGCATTCCAGAATTTAAAAAAAAAAATTGTTCCAAAGTATTTTAATTTGTAAAAGTGAGGCTCACATTATTAACCATATGAAAATTTAAGTTTTTGGTAAATAGTTTGGAGATGTTGTTTCTTCTGTGCTTGGAGTGACACCAAAATGTACGTGCTTTGTTGAACAATATTTATTGCTTCAGGATCATGAGGAACATTGATCTGTCCCCTGTATGTCAGGTGAAATTTGAAGGCCATTCTGTTGAACTCCTGTATAGGGCCTAAAAGCTTGATTGTGCTGTATTTCATGTTAGGAATGTAGGTTTTCAGAACAGCTGAGGACATTTATTTAACAGAGAGGCTGTAGGACCTTTCTTCTCAATTAACTGCATTGCAGGGATGGATGGTTGCAGTAGCAGTTGGACTGACATGCTTTGAAGTTTTAAGTGGGCTTTTAAAAAAATTTCTCAGTGGGGCATTTCATAGCCATTGGCATCCCTTGTTTTGCTATACTGCTTGAGAGGAGAAAATAATTCCATGGTACTTATGCTTAGATTTGTGGCACTTTGCTTTGATACTCTTTTTGATGGTTTTGTGCTTTAAGTTTGCCAAAGAGCTAATTTTTCTCCTTCTCATAATATAAAGTTGATCTTTAGCCTGCAGATTATTGAATCTGATTATTAAAGCTGGCAATTCAAAAGAGAGGAATTTTGCTTTTGGCTCAAGGGATAACAGAATATCTTAAATTTTCCTTAAGTCTTATATGTTCTTGCTGTTTGTCTAATTTGCTTTCTGGATTTCATTTCCATGGAAAGATGAGACTCGTAGTGTTTCTAAATTATATCTCTCTGAAGTGAAATTTGTGTCATACCAACCAGATCTAAGAATTCTCTCTTTCTGTGGCTACAAATCTACTGGCTTTACAAAATCAGTGCAGTTTCTGTCCACTTTTGAAGGACAAGAGTGAAGTCCTGTGTTCAGCAGTTGTCCTTATTCAAAATGCACTCAGGAAGGACTTAAAGTGAAACAAAATGCCAATGGCATGCATATGGCTGTGGGAGATTGTACTGCAATGCTAATGAATATATCTACCTAGTTTTTGTGTACAGAGCATTTAATTATTTTTACTTCAACTGACAGTTGCTTGCCTCTGGTCTCCCAAGGTATGTGCATTCAGCAAATAAAGTTTCTTTTACATGATGAAGTATTAAGTAGCTTAAATTAATGCTGCAGATATTCTAGTTGTTACTTAGTAGGAAAGAGAAAACAAAAAGTAAAAGTCCTCCTTTGTATTTTCCCTTTTCTGGGACAGTGACCAGAGACATTTATTGTATTCATTATCTTGTTTCCCTTTCCACATCCAGATCAAGATACAGACTTTTTTTTATTTAAAGGTTCAGAATGATGTTTGTAGCTGGCGAGCACTGTGATGTGGACACGCTAGAATGGTCAAAAAGAGTCTTCAAGGTACCTGTCTTGGACCACTGGTGGCAAACTGGTGAGTGGTTTAAAATACCCTTTGTAAAATACAGTGAGGAGAGTATTTTCAGGCTTGTTTCTTGAGTCTGAAGGTAAAATAGTTTTTTCTTGCCATGAACATGTAAATAAATGTAAAAAAAAAAAAATTCAAGCAGGAAGAATGTTTTTTGAAAGTGGTCTGAAAAGTGACTTCAGGGTACTTTTAGAAAAACGTGACTTTTGTAAAAGCTATATAAAGAAGGTATTTTCTGCTACCCATGTTTAAAAAAATAAGTTTGTATTAGTATTTTTCCAGGTGTGTTTTATGTTGTTTGCATGTGTGATCGTTATGTGACAGACTGTTTGCTATTTAAGGCTTAAACCTCGTTTTTTTGCATATATAATTTGTTTAATTAAAAACAAACAATCTGCTGCATAGAGTAGACTCCTTGGTCTTTAATACTGTTCGATATGGATGTCATCCAACTTCTAGTGATTATTTTAGAGTGTTTCCTATTTGTTTCACTGCAATGAAGGAATCAGAGTACCAGTCTGTGCGTAACTTTGCAAAAATCCTAGCTGAATCCTGGATTAAGACTTGATCAAATGTATTTCCTTATAACTGTGGATTCATATATCTTTAAATTTCACTATTAGAAAATTAAGTTTGCATTTTGCTTCTTACACACATTGCTGATTAAATAGTGGCAATGTATTACAAAAAAAAAGCTCCTTCCTGCCTGTCTGCCTCCCTCCCTTCTTGTGTTTTCTGTGGATCTTTGATTTAAGATGTGTGGTCTCTTTCTCTATAAAGAAACACCTTCTGAGGTTCTCCCATGATAGATCAAATAGAAGCTATAGAAGATTAGAGAGAAAGTGAGAAACTGGTATTTCATCTATATGTTATGCAATTAGATAGTTGAGGAGGCTTAAAATGCATTGTTTTTATTAAAAAAACCCAAAACACAATCTTAGGTAAATTCTGAAAAAGTTCTGGAAGTCAGTAGTGTAATTTTTAATTTAACCTGGGTTTAATCTGCTGATTAGCTGATCAATACAAGGCAAAAGACCTCTGTTTCATTCAGTTCACTATGATCCTAATGTCTGTAGGCAGGCTTAAATGATGCAGAATGAGAAATTAACTGAAAAGGGCTAAAAGATCAAATAATGTCTTTGATAAATCACTGAACTGTCAATAATCAATGTTACTGTATGTAATTTTGTGTGGTTTGGTACGTATTTTTGTCTGTCTTTGCAGATATAAAGATATATTACATATACAAAATTGCCATAGCTTTTGCATATGTTTAGTGCAGAAGTTTCATGTTACAGTGTTCTTTCAGATGTATCTCAAGTATACAAACATCAATGAGAGATTTTAGGCATATGGATATAATGGAACTTACACTGTGTAGGGGTACGACTGTGTTTTAGACCTTTTTCAAAGACCAAGTCTCAGCTCAGACTACAGTGTGTTTCTTGATTTGTATATTCAGGGCATGCTCTTAAATTAAATTGTACCATGACTTAGTGAACTAAGGTCATTTTAAATATATTGTTTGAGAGCATTTAATAATTTGATTAGAGTGAAGACCCAAGTGATCTGTGTGGAAATGTGAGCTGTTGAATGAAAGCGAGGCCTTCAGTCTGAAGGAAAAAATGTACTAATTCAGTTCCTATCAAAGAACTGAACTTCAAGGGATAAGGAAGCAAGAATCACAGAGTCATTAGGTTAATGAGGACCTCCTGAGCTCATTTAATTTCATACTCCTTCTCAAGCAGGATCAGAGAGTGTGTTGCTCAGGATCCTGTTTAGTTTTGAGTATCTCCATGGATGGGGATTCTCTGGCCACTCTGGCTAGCCTGTGCTAGTGTGTGACTGCCCTTACTGTAAAGGCATATTTTTTGGGCTCAGATAGAATATCCTGGTTTTAGTTTGTGTCTGTAGCCTCTTGTTGTGTTAGTGGGCATCACTGAGAAGTCTGGCTAACATTTCTTCAATGTGTGTAAATACTGGATGCCTCCCAAGAAGGCCTACAGGGGTGCTTTCTGTGAGAAGCTGCCAGAAGCTTCCTTCATGTCTGGCAGAGTCAATCCCTGGCAGCTCCAAAGATGGATGTGCTGCCAGTCATGCCTGGGCCAATTAGAAATGGTGGTAACGTATTCAAAAGTGAGGGGAAAAAAAGTTATTGCGAAGCTGTAATTGCAGCCAGAGTGGTGTGAGAACATGTGAGAGAAACAACTCTGCAGACACCAAGGTCAGTGGAGAAGGAGAGGGAGGAGGTGCTTCAGATGCTGGAGCTGAGATTCCTCTGCAGCCCCTGGTGCAGACCATGGTGAAGCAGCTGGCCCCTGCAAGCCGTGGAAGTCCACAGGAGGCAGAGATCTGCCTGCAGCCCATGAAGGAGACCCACACCATAGCAAGTGGATGCCTGAGAGGAAGTTTTGACCCTGTGGGAGGCCCATGCTGGATCAGGCTCCTGGCAGGGACCTGTAGATCCATGGAGAGAGGAGCCAATGCTGGAGCAGGTTTCCTGGCAGGACTTGCTACTGGTACCCTTTCCTTGTCTTTCTTGAGCTGTGGAGAATTGAACACAAGACTCCAGATGTGGCCTCACTAGGGCTGAGCTGAGGGAGAAGATCACCTTGCTCAACCTTCTGGTCACATTCTTCCCTATGCACCCTAGGGTGCCACTGGCCCTTCTGGCCATGAAGGCACTGCAGGCTCATGGTCACCTTGCCATCCACGGGACTCCTGGGTCCTGCAGCACAGCAGCCATTGCTGCAGGTGAAAACAGTCTTCCCTTCTGCTCTTCACTCACCTCTGCTTTAGCAGAATACAAAATAAATGCCATTAATTGTGAAAAAACAAGCAGTTCTGTCACTTTCATCCTTATCTGTCACTTGTCAAAATGTTGAAAATAGATTTCTGTGATTGAAAAGCCATTTAAACCAACAGTATTGGATTTCAGTATATCTGGTTAAAGGTTTATGTACTGAATGTGAAATATTTTATAGAATCGATAACTGGCTGTTTAATTCATTAGAAATAGGCAAGGTTAGTGACTGATGACAGAATAAGGACCCACAAATTCAGAAATAACAATTTTCTGAACTGTCTCCGAAATAAAAAGCGGCATGCTAAAAACACAATAAAAAACCCTAATCACTTCTGTCAGGAGGAAGTTGAAACTATTAGCTGTGTTATGTAGAACTAATAAGTTTTAAAAATGCATTTTTTATAACAAAATGAATTGTCTTTTTTTGCCATTTAATTGCAGCTGAAGTTGGAAATTGCTATTTTGTTATACCTCAGATTGAAAGTTTCTGTCTTACTTCTACATATGAAAATACTTTTGACCATTGCTAGTCTGACAAATTGGTACTTATTCCCAAAGCTGATACTTACCTGCATTCTTTCAAAACAAGAGCATTGCAAAACTCTGAGAAATTCTGACATCTTAATTTTGCTCGAAAACTGTAGACCTTCAGCAGTTATGTTGACTCTTTGAGCTGAGGCTAAAGCAGAAGATGGAGGAGGAGAAGTATCTGGGTAAATAGTGTTTCTTGCATAATGGGATAATTTCTATTCCTTTGTTAATGACTGAGAAAGGTAAGGAAAGGATGAGTTTTGTAGAGATGAGAAGTGACTGTCATCATTTGGAGATGGAAATGAGTGTGGGGGAAACAAAAGGCTGACAAAAGTATTATAAAATAGGAGTGTTAACCACTTCCTTCTTCAGGTTTAGTGAGATGTCTTTAAAGCACTTGGCCCCTTTGCCATATATATAACTAGAAATAAATTAGTATGGACAAGGAAAGGTGGATTTCTTTCATTTGTTCTTGAAATTTCGATTTATGGTGTGTATTTGAAATCACTGTGAATTGAAACAGTACTTTGAAACAGAAGTAATCTTTCGTTAAGGGACTTCAAAGCAGCTACACCTGGAAAAGCTGATTGCTTAAAACTGATTTGTGTCAGTACACCTTCATCAATAACACTCATTTTAAATGTTAATGTTTGTGTTACAAGTACAGTAAGCACATCTTACAAACTGTGAAATAGAAGTCACAGCATCAGTGAGTGGCAAGGAAGATTTCAGGCAGTAAGGACTGGGAAGAAATTGCTGTTTTCTTTTGAGATATGGCAATGGATGAAAGAATGTTATTTTCTGATCTTCTGATCCTATGCTCAACTGTACCTGGAGAGAGGAGAATTTTGCTTGGGTTGGTGCAGGTGTTAAGTTTTTGCTTATTTATACAAATTGGCACTTAGCACTTCAATAGCAATTTTCATCTTCAAAGTTGTGCAAACACAAGCAATTAATACTTTTGACACCCCTGTGAAGTAAGTACACTTATTCCAGTCTTGCAGACACTAAATAGGGAAAGAAGACTATCCTGCTCCAAGATATCCTGTAAGCCTTAAATTCATTGTCAAAAAAAAGATTTTTTTTTGAGAGAGATAATTTTTTGGTCTTATTTACCTATGTTTTGTGATTTTTTTTTTTAATGGGAAGTGGAATGCACATTTTGGATCTTGTTTTCTCTCTCTCTGTAGTTGTATTTTAAGGCAATGATATAGTTGCTCTGTTTTAGTATTGCAATTAGTTCAGTTACAAGGAGCCTTTCCAAATTTATTTGAAGTAGCCTAAACAGTGTTTGGGTTGTATCTACTGTGTGACTACCCTCATTCTGAGAGAGGGGCCTCAATAGACAAAGAAATGTGAGTATGGCGTACCTTGATTTTGGAGCTAGCTTTGAGTTCTAGGAAAAAAAAGGGAAACAGCCAGGAGGTTGAGCTGTGCAAGCAAAAGGCTCTGAAAGTTTGTGTTAAACATCTTTAGCTGCTTTCATGTTAGCTAAAAAAATGAAATTCTGCCATACCACTTTTTACATTTTGAGAAAATGGTAAGTCAGATTTCCATTTATTCATAATGAGTATAGGATATAAAGAGGTTTTTTTCTCTTGATGTTTTTAAATAAAAGCGTTTTGAGACTCTGCCTTTGAGGATGTATAGAAAAATTCAGATGAAATAG